CCAGTGACAAAGGAGCAAAGAGCACTGCCAAGCCCTGGTCACCTCTGTCCTTGGGGATCTGTGTCATCAGCTGGGAGCAAGAGAGGTCCTTAAAGAATCATTCCCTGCAACATACACAGCAAAACAATCCTCCCAGGGCGGGGGGACACCACAGCTTCCGGGAAGGCCCAGACGTTCCGTGTTCTAATCTCTCTCTTCCCCACAGCGGAGCTGCCCCTGCCTCGGTCCTTGGAGAAACAGCCCTGGGCCAGGGCAGGGCAGGGCAGAAACTCTGAGGCCAAGTGCCCATAGAAGCCACGACAGCCGCCTCCACGGCCTCGTCCCTCCGCAGGAGCGTCTCTGCTGACGCCCCAGCAGTCGCAGGAGGGACAGGACGGATTCCACAGGAAGGGCCTCCCTACCTGGCTGCTCCTGCCTTCCCAGGAGCCTTCATGCCACCTGCCCTAGCAATGGACCCTCAAGCCCCGTCTGGGACAGAGGAGACCAGGAGTGCAAGGCTGGCACCTCAGCGGGAGAGGTCAAGGCTCAGAGGTCAAAGGGCCACTGGCTGGAATTACGAGGGCTAAGTGCAATTGCCACCCTGGCAGACTGGACAGCCCCTCGGAGACCCAGCCCCCAGCACTGTGAGAACCGGGGAGCTGGCCTGGCCCTGTGAGCCCAGGCCTGCCCTTGGCAGGGGAGAGCAATGGGCCTGAGGAGTCTTGCTAGAAACTTGAACCATCTCCCTGCAAAAACTCAGGGAGGACAAACACTCACCCTGAAATAAATACGAAGGCGTTAAGTGCTCCTTGAAAAATCGGGATCCTAACTACCCCTACAGAAGGTGGCAGGGCCTTTCCCTGGACCTGGTCACCTCAGCTGCGGGTACTCCGTGAGATGTCAGAGGTCAGAGGACTGGGGCCTTCCCAGGCCCAGCTTCCATTAGGAGGACTGGGGTGGACCCCTGACACACCCTCACCAGTCTTCTCCCCAGACAGCTTCTGCTGACAGGGAGTGAGAAAGGCGAGCAGACCGCCACGCCGAGGCACACTGTGGCCGCCACCCTGCCTGTGGGGGCAAACAGGCCACTCAGTTAATCAGCAGGTCCCCCAGGTCATAGGAGTCGAAGAGGTCGCTGATGCCTTCCCCCTCGTCCAGGCCCCACAGGTACTCGTCCTGGTCCAGAGGCGGCGAGAAGCTCATCAGAGGGGAGCTGCCGGCCAGGGCTGAGCCCAGGAGCTGGTCCTCGGTCTGCTGCAGGAGCGGGTGCGGTGGCCCCAGCACGCTGTCGCTGGCCTCCAACGGGGCAAGGCACGGCAGTGGAGGTGGCGGCGGGACTTGCTGCGGAGTCAGCGTGGACGCTGGAGACAGAGAGACAGGGTCACGTCCGGGCCCGGTGCCCAAACCCCGTTAGGGCTGCAGCTGGACCTCAGCACACAGGACGACCTTCCACTCTCCACACACCCCAGCACCTTTCTGTCTCTGCATCCTGCCCACACCTGACGGCACAGGGACCCTTCCCTCCTCTGCATCAACTCCCTCATCTCCCACACTCCCCCATTCTCTCACGCAGGCAGAGGGCCCTGACCTCCAGATTCACCCCCCGGAACCGGACAGTGGCGCAGCAGTAAAACACAGGGTTTGCAAAGCTGACCCACGTGGAAGGCTTTGGGTTCCCACACACAGCTCCCTGCAAACACAGCTTAAACTCATGCCACGTGTGTGTGCGTGCGTGCCCAAGATCCTGAGAGGAGAAAGGAGGAGAAGGGATTGCAGCACGGCCATCCCCCCTGGGGGGTGACTTCTCGCTTTCTGTCTCTCTGTCTCTCTCTGTCTTTCTAGTGAGCACACATGCCCTATAGCAAACAAAAAAAACTCAAAAAAAATGTTTTTCTCACTTTCTGTCTCTCTTTCTAGCACATGCATGTACCCTATAGCAAAAACCTCTCCATAAATAAATAAATAAATATAAAAAAATTAAAAATTATAAAAAAGACAAAGACTGTGTGAGTCTATTTTCTATGAGATTCTTAGAATACTCAAGGGCCACAGTGGTGTGGGGGTTAAGGCTGGATCCCACACGGCTGCCTGTGCAGTTAAGAGACCCAGGGCAGGTGGCTTGAAAAACACGCCCTTGCAGTGTGCACGCTAACCTAAAACTCTCTCTCTCTTTTTCTTTCAGGAGGAATGGTCACGCTGCAATCCCTTCTCCTCCATTCTCCTCTCGGGATCTTGGGCACGCACACACACACGTCTGGCATGAGTTTAAGCCACTGGGTCCAGGACTCGAACTGTGCTCGACTACATGGAGTCCAGTGATATAGCCATTAGGCCATCTGTTGGTCCCCCCAATTTTTTCTTTTATTTTAAAAGTTAAAAACATAAGGATGCCAGCAGGTGGCATGGTGGTTGGGGCACTGACTCCCACATGGAAGACCACGGTTTGAGTCCCAGACGTGGTGGCAGACATGTTGGGCGTGTGTACATGCATGCCCAGAATCCCAAGAGAAGAACAGAGAGGCAATTGTGGCCTGGCCATCCTCCCGGGGGGCAACTTCTCACTTTCCCTCTCTCCATCTCTCTCTGGGGAGCTCATATAACCTATGACAAAAAACGTAAAAAATAAATACTTACATAAAAACATAATAATACAAAAACTGAAAGCTGTGGTAAGAACTTGGCCCTTGCTTATGCAGCGGGCCCCTCCCCATCCAAGGGCTCAGAGCACAGCTGAAGAGAAGGTGGCCCTGCCTTTGCAGGGCTGCACACATGCTGCCGGCGGGTGAGACGGCAGAGCAGGAGGAGGGACGGGGCGGGGCACGGGTCTGGGATGAGAGATAGGCACCAGGGAGGTGCCCAGAGGGACAGATGGTTGGCACAGAGAGAAGCCCTTGTCCCAGATGAGGCCAACAGACACTGGAGACGCTAGAGAAGAGCTGGGAATCTGAGCTCTAGTCCCAGGTCTGCCCCATCACCTTGCTGTGTGACCTTGGGGAAGCCACCTGCCCTCTCTGGGCCTCAGTTAACGCAGGGGTAAAGTGAGGGGTTGAGTTAGATCAGGGCCCAGCAGGCTTCTGTAAAGGGCTGGACGGTATGCTGGGTTCTGCGGGACACTTGTGGCTTATCACACAGTCTTCTTCCCTCAACCCACAACTCTAAATACCAGTCTCAGGGCCAGCACGTAGGGTGGAGATTAAGGCACTGGACTCCCACATGGCTGACTGCGGTTCAAGTCCTGGACCTGGTGTCTTGAAAATGACACTATGTGCATGTGAGTGCCTGCCCAGAATCCCAAGGTGAGATAGAGGAGAAGGGACTGTGGCGTGGCCATCCTCCTGGGGAGTGACTTCTCATTTTCTCTGTCTCTAGCAAGTGCATGTGCCCTAAGGCAAAACAAAAAAAACCTTTAAAAAAGCGTCCTTAGCTCGTGGGCCATGTGAAAATTGGCCAGTTTGGGGTTGTGGGAAATACCAAGTTTGTCAGCCTCCGAGTTAGAGAAATGGACTCCAACCCGTGTGCTCTGTACAACCCCAGAACCGAGCCGCTCCTGTCAGACCGGTTGTAGCTCTGCCTCTGTTCGAACCCCAGGGTTTTAGTAAAGGAATTCTGTCACTGAGCTAGCGAGAACTGGAACGCGGCCTGCCTGGCTGTGAGAATCCTGCCAGGCCTCCCTCTGCGTGAGCCCAGAAAGGGAAAGCTCTTCGGGAGGGGGCTTCCCTTATAGGACTCCGTCTGGACCGCTTCCTACGCCTACCCTCCCTGGGAAGCTCTCGGAGGCTTCTCCCTGTTACTCTCCATGCCATTTCCTGCCAGGCAGAGCCAGCTTTTAGCTGTACCTCCACCTCCCAGCCAGGGGGCCCCTCCAGCCTTGGGCCCTCCCCTAACTGGTCTTATGGCAGCCTAGCACTGGCAGGGTGTAGACTGAGGTTCCAGACCAGCACCGTGGCCTCCCAGCTGGGAGACCTTGAGCAAATGTCATTACCTTTCTGCCTCAGTTTATTTTTCTCTACCCTGGGATTAATGAAACCTACTTTGAGAAGTGCCGTGAAGCAGAGCCAACAGGTGGACAAGGTGGTTAAGGGTGCTGGACTCCTACGTGGCCTCTCTGGTCAAGTTAAAAATAAATAAGCAAAGAGAGAACAGCAGCTGGCGTCATGGCTATGTCGCTGGACTCCCACGTAGTCGACCGTGGTTCGCGTCCCGGACCCGGTGGCTTAAAACTCACGCCGGGCGCGTGTGCTTGTGTGCCCAAGATCCCGAGAGGAGAA